AAAATGAATCCTCCAACACCTCGGAACTCCCTTTCCTTGTGTTGAGATTCAAACACCAACAAGGAGAAAAACTCTTTCTCCTTTACAGATCCAATGATCTATTAAGTATTACAGAATGACTCTCTTGAAGAGTGGATATTACACTTTCATGATCTTTGATGAACTCTTTAGAGATTTTGCAAATGATTTTGGCCAAGTGATTTGTAAAGATTATTTTCACAATAGAGTTCGTCACCTTTCTTTGAAAAATTATAGATATTTATAGACAATTATTTCTTAGGTTATGTCTTTTCATGAAGAGTTGTAATTTTCTATAATTTTTCAGAAAATAGGCTTTGGTAATTGATTACAAGACTTGGTAATCGATTACAACGGTTCAAGTTCAAAATGTTTGAAACGTTGTATAATTTAAATTTGAAATTTTATCTTCTGGTAATCCATTACCAGATCTTGTAATCGATTACCAGAACACATTTTGTATTTAGAATTTGAACTTTGAAGTTTCCTGTTCTGGTAATGGATTACAAGATCTGGTAATGGATTACTAGAACATATTTTTTATTGTTTCAAAAGCTTTTATGTAGAAAACTTCATCTCAATAATTTCTTTCACAAAGCTATTTTAAGAAATGATTTGAACTATTCTTTAAAGCTTTTGTTAAGTCTTTTGAAAACATTTTTACTTACTTTCAAAAGATTTAAAATTTGTTTAAATTTAAAGAGAATAATTTGAGATTTTTGAAAACTTATTCTCAAGACCAAGCATACTTGCATTTCTAAAAAAATCTTTTACATTCTTAGCTAAGTTGAGAAGACTTATCTATGTACCACTTGAGATCTTGTTCTTGCATCAACTTGCTTTAACTCAACCTTGATTCTTCTTCAATGCTTTATAATCACTTTGACATCATCAAAACATTTGTACATATTTTCTTCCACACTACACCATTAAAAAAAATTTATACACGAGTTCATATCCTGTCTAATTTATTTTTCCAGCTTGTTTCAGAACATAGAAACGTTATAAACATCCGCACAATGAAATATTTGATTGGTGCTTCTTGTTTGTGACTGGAGGTTTTGGTCTATTTATTTTCTTGGACTAAATTAACCTTTTAACTATACACTTTTTATTTAACCTTCGGCAAATAGCTCCTTCCTTTCTCTTTTTCCCTTCAATATATTAAAAAAAATGGACACAATTTATTAAATTTTTTATGTATATTGGTTATATTTAGAAATAATATATTTTTTATCAGTACAAAATATTATAATGACGAATTTTGTTTTGTCTCTAATTCTTTTATTTATTTTTTCCTTTTTTCTTTATTTTAAATTATTGTTTTTAATCTTTGTAAAACTAACAAATTCTGATTTTAGACTTTATAAATGTTTTTATTTGTTCAAAATTTAAATTCACTAACTCATGTTTTAATGTATATTTTTAGATAAATAATTAACATTTATTTTAGTATATTAAATTGTTTTTAGAAGTGTTACATATTAATATATCATTAAGGATATTAGTATCGTTTAAAATGGTCATTTGATTTATCATTCTACATATCAGTAGTTAACGAATATTGTATAATAATAGAGTTAAAAATAGTGATTTTTAATTTAAAATAATATTTTTCTATACACGACCAAATTTGAAATACATTTATTTTCTATAGACTTAAATAATATAATTAAGCATATTATTTATTATTTCTATATTTTAAAGAATTAATAAATTTTTGTCAAATTTTATTATGTTTAAATTTTAAGAGTTAAATTACAAAGTAAGTTATTGAATTGTTTAGGTATATTCAAATAGATCCTTAAACAAATTTAGATTTTAAACTAAAAGCATAGGTTCATAGGTTCATAGTTTTAAAAATCAGTTTGGATCGGCTGGTTGAACCGAGAATCGGTGGTCTAGTCGATCCAGACCTTGAGTTGGATTGATTATGCATTTGACCCATTTAAAATTGAAGTGAATCAGTTAATTTTTCGATTCGACCAGTGAACCAATGGGTCGAACCGGTTCAACCACAATATTTTTTGTTTATAATATATGCAACTTAAATAACTTTTATAGTATATTATTAATTTTAAATTATATATTTAATAATATAATATCTATGTAGATATTATATATATTATTTTGTGATATCAATTACAAGTATATTATATATATACATATTATTTATATTTTTAATTTGTATTAATATACAGTTTTAACATGTACTTTTTTTTATATTTCTTTATACAAAATAAAAATAAAGATAATTTTAAATAAGTAAAAATTAAAATTTAAAATAAGATATGAATTTATTGAAATTTATTAATATAAAATATATTTAACATGAATATTTTTTAAAAAATTAATAAAAATCAGGTCATGCGATTCAATTAGTGATCCATCGATTTAACCTTTGATCCACTAACTTAATATCCTAATTGATTTAATGACCGACCTGATTTTTAAAACTATGAGTAGGTTAGTTTATTGTTAGTTAAAAAAGATTAATTTATGAACCTGTGGCTATTGGGATCTACTTGGTATTTAATACTCTTTTTTTTATAAATATCTGTGAAAAAAGTAATGAACAATAATAATAAAGATTCTTTAATTACTTAAAATTTAATAAAAATGCATATTAAGTATAAAAAAATTAATAATCTTAAACGAACGTGATAATATCTAATTTATGGTTTTATTCGAAAAAAAAATTGCGACACTCCCGCTAGTTTTATATACGAGGGAGACGGAGGGGTGAGATGCGAAAAAATATTAGTCCCTCAATTTAAGATAAATTTAATTTTAATTTCTTAAATTTAAAATTATTATTTTTAATTTTTGTAATTTTTAAAAATCTTGTTTTAATTTCTTAGATCACTAATAACATATTTAAAAGAGATTAATTAAGACAGTTATGTAATATCAATCAAATTTAATGTGATATTTTCACTAATAAAAATATCAATAAGTAAATTTTACCTAATAATATTTGATAAATTTTTTAACAAAATTTGAATATAAAGACTAAAATAAAATTTTTTTAAATTACAGATTTAATAAAATTTGAATATAGGGACTAAAATCATATTTAAGTCAAAAATAATTTTCTACCTTAAAATATATTAATTTTTAAATACACGACTTTTTCATTATTTGTCCCGTCTCTGCCACCGCGAATCTGATACTTCCGCCACTGTCCGGCAACACCTCCACCGCAACTAATTCTTATAAGAATTTCAACATCTTTTCCCATTTTAATATAAGGAGAAGTTAAGAAGAAAAAGAAAGAGTAACAAAGAAGAGAAAAAACAAGAACAAGAAAAAAAAATAAATAAATAAATAAATAAAAAAACAAAATAAAATCGCCCACCGTGGGGCTCGAACCCACGACCACAAGGTTAAGAGCCTTGCGCTCTACCGACTGAGCTAGACGGGCTTTTATTTGTATTGGAATTTTCTATCACTTTGTTCAAAATATTTCTTGGGACTTGGTCAGTTAACTTTAAACACTTATTTCTACATTAATGTATAGAGTGAATATATGAATAAAGTAAAAAAAACAAAAACATTCTACTGTTAACTTTAGTTATAATACTTCATAATTTTAGCTAGAAATTAATGATAAATATACTTTTATTTCCTCACTTTGTAAGTTTGTTCACTTTTACAAATAATTAAATCCTAAATTATACGTGACTCATCTATATAAAATTTTAGCAATATATAATTTTTCAAAGCTTTTCTTAGTCTTTAATATGTTCTGCACAAACAAAAAGTTTGACAAAATATATATTCAATATTGAGATAAGCTAGTTAGCAGATATATTTAGTCTAACAAGGAAAGTAAGCAACTATATTGATAGTATTGTGCTAATATATTTTAAGAACCAAATTATTTAATAAAACTATTACATGGTATTGCAACTATTTACTAAGACAACTTTTAAAATCACTGGTTTTAGGGGGAAAATGCTGAATATAATTACAAATACTGTCAGTTGCTCAAGGAAACCAGATTTTAACTTTCAATCGATGAAGGTGTTGCAAGAAAGATATTAGTTTTTTGGCATACGGCAGGCATACATAAAAGCAGATAGATACTTGTTTTTGCAACACCACAAAAACTAAAGCATTGTAGTGTCTACTTTTTCAATCACAAGCTTTATTGTTTCTCTCACTTGATTAATAGTGTTGCATACAAGGCCTTATGAGGACCATTTAATTTGCCTGGTAACGCCACACCCAAAATAAAATAAAATAAAATTAAAATGGAAGATACCCAAGTAGTCAGGGGTTATGAATGCAGGCAGCAGGTTGTCTTTGTGGTGATGAGGTTTGGAACTCTGGCAGAGCTTTGTATGTTTCATACAATCTACTCAGGATAGGAAATTTGGACTGCAAAAACTCAAAAACAAATTGTAAATGTTCACATTATGTAGAGGGTTATAATTTCTTCTCTCAGGCAGAAGCTTTTTATTAATTTGTTTATATATTTATTTATTTATTATATTTTAAAAAAAATATTTTTATTGAGAAAGAGAGGAGTAGAACAAGGGGATGAGGATAAGAAACTTCTACAGCTAAAAATTAAAGCAAGAGAGAGAGAAGAGCATCATTGGTATTAATCCAATTAAGAACAGTAGTTAAATAAAAGATTTTAACTTTTGAGGAAACTGCTGATTTTCAAATTGGCTTATCCAAAAGATTCTCTATTAGGGGATGAAGTGAGAAATTGGAAAAAAGATTTGCAAGAAAAGGATTCGGAAGGATCCACAGAGATAATTTCCTCCAGTCTTGGTTAGAAGTGATATTGACGAAGTTCAATAAAACCAAATTTTGTAGTTCAGAGATTTCCCTGTCATTCAGATTTTTCTAAGAAAGGTAAAATTGAATACTGAATTTCCAAGACACAATCCTCCTTCTTTAGGTCTACAACAAATGTCCTAGTTTACAAGATGGTCCTTAGAGAGCCCATTTGTACCTGACCAAAGCAAATGCCTCGTAATTTTTAAATTTTCTCTATAGGTTGAGCAACAGCCACTGGAATGTGAAAAAGAGAGATAATACAGTGGAATACTAGAGAGGGAAGATTGAATGAGGGTGATATGACCCCTTACTGAAAAGTAGCCCCTTCCCAAAGGATTTAAATAAATAAGAGGCCAACAAAGAATTTGACAACAAACCAAGGACGAGAAAGAATTCAAAGATTGATCATCCACATTTAGACATGTCAAACTACACTTAGATTAGCCTTTAACCCGGAAATAGATTCAAACAACCTGAGAATTTCTAGATAGTTAAGCAAAGAATTCCACTTTTGGCTCCAAGAACGAAATAATGTCTTTAGCAAATTGGAAGCGAGACACTTGATCTTCCTGAGAGCATACTTTTAATCTTTATAAAGACCTCTATCAACAGCCCTAAAAATCAGCCAGCTAAGAACATCCACCAGTATTGTGAAGAAAGAGGGGGGCAAAGGATCCCCTTGCCTTTGGCCTCAAAACCAAGACTTAGGTTCCTTGTTAACTATAACAGAAAAAGAAACAGAGGAAAGATATCCTGAATTCCAACTAAAAGCCCCAATTTAGATCATCCATCTAGATCCGAAACCTTTTTTGCTTAACACCCTATCCAAAAGCCCCAATTCGCCCTATCAAATGCATTTTCAAAATCCAACTTAAAGACCAGACCCTTCTTTCTTCTCCAAATGTCTCCCACCACCTCATTCGCAATAGAGATCAGAGATGCATCCAAGATTTCCCCACTTGGGATAAAAGCACTTTGGTTTCTAAGATAGTACAGACAACACTTCAACGATTATACATAGTACAGAATGTTGGAAACGCAATTTGCTAAAGCTACTTCTAGAGAAAGTTAACAAGATTTTCACTGGTGCTAATTGCATTCTCCAATCTGTTATGAAATTATTTGACCATTTGAAACAAACATGTAATTTTAAAAATCATCCCATAGGTTTGTTTTAAGATAATCTCTCTTTTAAAAAAATAGTGCCAAATTATTTTGACCATCCATTGTTTAATTAGTTATAATATTAAGGCATTTTAACACCTTAAATTATATTATCAGGTTCTTATATAAGTAAGCTTAATTTTATAAAATGATACTTCACTCTTGATTTAATATCCAGTGACCATCCAGGCATCCAATGATTATTTATTTAGAAACCTCCATTTAAAGAAAGATCACCAAATGACACAACCATTATACTTTCATTTACAAAAAAAATAAAATAAAAAAATAAGACAAGATAAGAAAAGAACTTCATCTTCACTACCAACCAATCGAGTATGTGCACCAATATTGGTATAAAGAAACAAAACAAATATATCAAGAAATCATAAGAACTATACCATATCAATATCAAACCTCTGAACCGCCTGTGTAATCTGTGGGGCCAAAAATACATCAGCCTGCATGATACAACATTTTCTTTGTTAGATATGCTTTCCAGGTTCATAGTAAATTCCTTTGCAGAAAAAATTAAAGTTCACTTCCAAAGGAGCAAGAATCCCAAAGTAGAAAGAATTAGATAATACTTGATATTCATTTTGGCAGCACACTGAAATTTCAAAATCTATGATGGACAAACTCAGCATGGTAGTATAAGGGTAAAATGGAAGGGGGTATTGTTTTTTTCTGCCAGATTATGAGGAAAAGATAAAGAAAGTTCCATTTACAATTTTCCTTTTCTCCCTTCAGTAAATATCTTAGCTTCAACAAATATTTTTAGGAATTGACATTGGCCACAACAACATGGAACAGATTCAAAATAAGACATTCAATCATATTGAAGCAAACCATTATAGTAAATAGAAAAGATAAAGAAGGCTTTAGGGCAACCAGATTATACCATATAGATATGTTCCCCTGTGGCATATGTACCAGCAAAATCCTTCAGTAACTTTTCAAGAGCTGGACATCATCCAAATAAAAGTAAAAGTGGAAGTAAGAGAACTGAATATTTATTAAAACAATTTCAAAAGACAAGGAAACGATAGTAAAGAATACGCTTACCTGAGAAACCTTTGTCAATGGTAAATTGGGCCCATGGTTTTGATTCCGCACCAAACATTTTCTCCATATCTTTCTGTAAAAAATCTGAAGTGTCAAAAATCTAAAATATTTGAGCATAGCCAATCCAAGCATTTCAGATCAAAAGAATCAAGAATGTACCAGAACATTAAGCATGTGAAGAGGCTGTATACTAGAGTGAACAATACTTGCTACCTGTAAAATAATATACTTTCAGACAGTAGCCAAGCTTAAGAAAGATTTTAAGGCACAAGTGATCTAGCACCTTCTCACTGCTAGAACATAATTTGAGCCTGCTAATCTATCAGTGTCAGAATATTTCCTTTCAGGATATATGTTCAAATTACAGATTGGACCGGAGAATCATTTTATAGTGAACAAGTTCTTATAATCCATGGTCTTTTTATAAACCTTGTGTCCTGCAGAACTTACCAGATATTTCCAAACTATCTATATAATTTTTAACAATAAGAATTCACAACCAGATTGGCTTTTTCCATTGCTCCAGAAGATACAGTACCAGTACGATTAGCGGTTAAAATCAATCTTGACTTAACAGTCAACACATTCATATTGCAAATCCAAATCAATCATCTTGAAATTTACCTGAAGATTGAGAGCTCTGAGCTGAGGATCAACTGGCAACAGTGGCTTCTGAGCATATTTTTCCTCCAAATGCTAACCACAAAGGGAAAAGTGAAAGATATGAAGTTGCAATTTGAATAATAGAACACCAAACCTAAAATGGAGACATGCATGAAATTATTGGAAAGAAACTCAATATTTTCAGTGCTTGTAGCACTAGACCTACCAAAAATATTGCATAAGAGTCTGAAACCACCACATTATCATCAACTAATACTGGAACATAGTGCAGAGGGTTCAATTTCTCGAACTCTGAAATTTAATCATAAAATAATGTTTTTTCAGTCAAATAAACTTTACCAACCACCATTCAGTTTAGCTCCTAAAGCAATAAATATACTAAAGAGTTCTGAATTCACCTGGACTGTACTGCTCTCCTTTTGAAAGATCCACTTCTTTGCACTCATATGGGATCCCTAGTCATATTAGATTAAAGAAAACCAAAGACAATGAAGAAACCTAAATTCATTGTGTCCAATTCAACATTTTTCTGGAGTTATAACCAAATCCAAATTGCAAATCTAATTTCTGAATTCCCATCATACACCCATATGAGCCATAGTAATTCTTAATTGAAAATAAAATAAAACATCTGCGTAGGGGGAGGGATCATTCATTTTTTTTCAATTGAAATGAACAAGGGAATAGAAAGAAGAACAAATCAACGAGAGCTACATTCTGAAAACAAGTCAAAGAGACATACAAAGTGAGTGGAGTGAGGTGTGTAATTGTTAATATGGGAGCAAAAATTAAAATAAAGAAGTAAAAAAAAAATGGGGTGGGGAAGGAACCTTTGAGGCATAAAGCAAAGCGGATACGCCATGAGCAAGAGCTTTGGCTGAAAGAATAGAGAACAGGATTGGATGCATTGCTGCCACCACCACTTTTCTGCAGTGCAATTCTTGAATTCATTTGAAAACATGATAGTGAGAGTGAATAATGAAACAAAGTAAAGAAGGATTACCAGCGCATCTGCCTCCATGTCTGTCTGAATTGCTAAACTCTATCTAACGTTTTCCAACGTCAACGCTGTCTGTCAGCAACAACTGTCAACAAATCTATCCATTTTTTGTAGTAAAAAGACCCGTCAACCACATAAACTACTTTAATTATACTTTTTATTTTTAACTCCGCCACACTCGATGAATAAATATTATATGTAGAATTATGCCTCTTAAAATCAATTTTGATCGTTAAAATTAGGATGAAAACTTGAAAAAATTAAAGCAAGTATTTCTTCATCAACTTTTTTTTTTTGGACTGAATTCATTAAATGAATAAAAATCTCGTTAAGCTATACTTATTAAAGAAAATACTTTTTTGTCTTGGTACACAGTTTGTTTTCTCATTTTATCTTTTAATTAATTACCATGAAAAAAATTATAAATAACTTTTTTTTATACACAAAATGTCTTTAAACCCACTAGTAAATTATAAATATAATAAAAAGAAATCATCAAATAATACATATTTTTATCTGCTTAAATCACTAATGACTTTGTAGTAAATATCTTTATTTTATATTAGCCAAAAAAAAAATTACTCCATGTTTATGGATATAGAAGTTAGAAAGTGATTATGATGCATTTTATTTTTGAAAAATAATTGTTTTTATTTAAATTAATAAAATATAATTACTAAATTATTTTTCACTTAAATAAAAGAATTAACCGTTATCATAATAAATAAAAGTAAAAATATTTTAAAAATTATGCACACGAAAATGATAAATTTTCTTTATATATTATTATAGATAATAAATAAAGAAAGAAAACCTAGGATATAGATATCCAGAAAATACAGTCGCACACAAAATTCATCTAAAGTAGCATAAAGAAATTTTACATATTTTTAATTTATTAAACATGTATTTTTCATTTATTTATATCATTTTTATTTCTTCTCTTTCCATTTCCTTATTTCACTTTGAAAACGGTTTATGGATCATCACTGCACATAATATTTGTGATTTGATTTTTTTAATGATAGTTATGATTTGATTGATACCATATCCTACCTTTTTTTTTTTTCGCCTTTTCAAAAATGACTTAAAAGTTATATACATAAATGATAAAGAAATTTATATTGATAGAATATTTGAATATATCTTAACTTTGATAGAGAATATGAGTAATATTTTATTTATTAAATTGGATACGAGATTAAAAATATATATTTATTTATCTTATATCTATATCTGGTTTAAATTTCTAGAAATAGTTTATTTTTAAAAATAATTACTTAATATTTATGTAATTTTAACTTTATTTAAATTTATGTCAAATAAAACTTAATTATTATAATTTTGTAATTATTATTTTATATTAAAATTGTTATTTTTAATATTTTTTAAAAAAATATTTAATTATTTTTTAACAAATACGAGACAAATACGGATATATCTAATACCTGATAGAAATAAAGATGAAAACATAAATTTCATGTAATATGAAAATAGAGATCCTGAAACATGTATTCATCTCCTCTGATATCATCCTTAGTTATATATATCATTTGATTTATATAATAAATGTGTGTTTATTTATTTATTTTTTTAATTTTTTAATTAAAAAATTAATACACTAAAAGGTTTTTATGATTTTCAGTTCAATAATTATGGACTGTCATTTTTATTTACTATTATTAATTAATTTTTTATTTAAGTAGATTTTTAAAATTAAAAAATATAATTAAGTCTTTTGTAATATAGGTATATAAGTGAATTACATAATTTTTTAAACAATAGTTAATTTTATATATATATATATATATATATATATATATTAAAATTTTACCAAATACATGTTTGTTGCAAGAATTTGACGAAAACCTTTTCTTACAAATAATCATTTCAGCATATTTTGAGCATCTTAAATTGTCAACTATCTTAAAATAATTGAAATCCAAATCCAAAAAATGGTGTGGAAAGTAAGAGTCCCACCGTCCACTTTATTTTATTCATCACATGTTTCAGTTTTACATTTCATTCCTTCTTTCTTCTTTGGCTATATTTTGGCTCACATTTCTTATATCTTCTTTCAACACAATACACCTTCCATAATTTTCTCGAACCTTCTTCCAACAATGGCTTCAATGGCGGCATCTTCAAGCTCCTTCTGCAACCTCAAGTTTCGCACCAAACCCAACAATCGCTCTTCCCCGTGTTCGATTTTGTCTGAACCACCACGATGACACACTCACCGACCAAATCAACCGAAGGTTCTTCACTTTCTCTCTCCTTTCCAATGATTATTATTTATGAATTGTATCTGTTCATGCCTGTTTTCTGAAATATCTTTGCATTTCAATTTTTGTATATCTTGCAGGGAACTCATATTGAGAAGCAGCGAAATAGCCACCATTGGTGCCATCTTCAACTTCAGGTACCCTTCCTCTGTTTTTGCTCAGTTTCTCGTTATTGCCTTTGATTTTATTTATTTATTTATTTTTTTAATTCAAGGTTTGATTTTGCTGGTGAGTATTGAGACCCTTTTGGATTTTAGTTTCGGTTTTGTTTTGTGTTGGAAATGGGTGGTGGTTAAGAAAGAGAAGTGGGTTTGGGTTTTGTGTTTTTGGTGTGCAGTGGGAAGAAGCCTGATTATCTTGGAGTGCAGAAAAACCCACCGGCGTTAGCTCTTTGTCCGGCGACTAAGAACTGCGTGTCAACCTCTGAGAATGTCAGTGATCGCACCCATTATGCTCCCCCATGGTAAAACTTCCCTTCTTTTCCTCACTTTAATTTTAACCTTGGATTCATGGGATTATATGAATTAACTACAACTCTTTTAATTGTGTTTTTGGCCAAACTAATTAAGAGTGCTAGCAATAAACAATTAATTGAGAAATGTTAGAAACTCATCTTCTTGTATTCTTTTGAATCCATACTCCCTCCATTCCATAATAACTAATAAGTGTCGTTTTAAAAGAAATTTGTCCCAAAATAAGTGTTATGTTAGCTTTTCAAATTAGTATTAATTGTTTCTTTTTTCATTTATACCCCTAAGATATTATGTAGGAAATAGTTGTGCTGTGCTGCATCGTTTCTAGCAAAGAAAATTAATTATAAGGTTACATTTGTAAACTTACAATTCTCTTTTATCTATTTATTAATTTTTAAAATAATCTAGGATAATACTTATTATGAAACAGAGAGGGTATTTAATATTGATTGAAATTTATTGCAATTGCATAATTTTATTAGTTTCGCTTCTTATTTAAAATGAGTTTCACTCTAGTTTGTAGTTTTCGATGAATTTTTTAACTAATACTAAAGACAAAGTTAGAGAATGTTGCTAGCATTTCTTAATTAATAGTTAATTCATTATAAGTTTGTTTAGATACAAGTTAAAAGTATTTATAAATTCTTCTCTATTGAAAAAAAAAAAAAAAAAACCTTATTTTCAGATGATAACTCAAAAATTCTTCTATACTTGAAGCCAAGCATGCTCTAAGTATTTATCATGTAAGCATTCATATATAAGTTATTTCTATAATTGAAGAGAAAATATGGGGTTGGAAGCTGTTATGGACATATATAAGCATATACTATAGTTATTTTCATAAGTTATTCCAAACATTTATGCAAGTACTTGTGTTATAAGAAAAGTATGATGTTAGGTAACTCCTGGTGTTAAAATTGCGTTTTGTGGAGGGTTTGGTAAACCAGATTTAGCACATGATCAATCAGGGTTTATTTATTTTTTGCGTTTAGTCCGAAAGGAACGTATGGCATAGTTGTGAGAATCACGTTGCAATATACAATATTGCACTTGGAACAATTTATCACGTTTTAAACCACGTGAAAGTAGGGCAACCGGTATTGGACTATTGACTGTTGAACAAAGTTGACTTGACATAAGATTTGGACTATTGGTCACAAAAATATTGGCCGGAGAAAGTTGTGCAATATTTACCTTTTTTTTTCTCTCGACATAAAACTTTTCTTCAGCTTGGTCCTTGTTTTGAGTATGGTCCCACCATAATCCAAACATTATTATTGGACGTAGATGAATCATGATGTCACTTTGTTTTAACTTTTTCATCCTTTTTCAGGAACTATAATCCTGAAGGTAGGAAAAATCCAGTGAACAAAGAGGAAGCAATGGAGGAACTGATAGACGTGGTAATTATCTAGCTGAACTGAAATTATGAGTTATATCACTGGATTGCAATTTTCTTTTCTTTCCCTCATTCAATTAACATCAATTATAATTTATATAATTTATAAAATTTATGAAAGGAGTATTAGTAATAAAATACTCTCTAATGCACTTTTTATCATTGATTAAAATTTATTGAAAATTACAAAGTCTCAAGTGGACTTCATTGAATAAGGAGCGAGACACACAATTTTGTAGTTTTATAATAGCTGGTTATTTGCACTTTTTCAATCTTTGAAGTAAAGTTAAAAGCAGTTCCGTATAATTTAACAGATAGAATCAACAACACCAGACAAATTTACACCACGAATAGTTGAAAGGAAAGAAGACTATATTCGTGTGGAGTACCAAAGCTCAATCTTGGGGGTATGTGTGACTTGCATCTGATGAAACTCATCATCAAGAAAAGTAATCATTTTAAGAGTTTTAGATGATATCAAGATCAATCTCTAATTCGCCCTTCCCTTTTTTTCCCTTTTCTGTCACGTTCTTAACAGTTTGTGGATGATGTGGAGTTCTGGTTTCCACCGGGTAAGGGTTCTACTGTGGAGTATCGATCTGCATCTCGGTTGGGAAACTTTGATTTTGATGTGAATAGAAAAAGAATTAAGGTACGTTTTTATAACTCCTGTGTGCTTTCACTGTAGTTACATAAAAAATATTATTGGTTCAAAGGCATGTCAAACACTTGATAGTTAAGTTTTATATGATTCACTAAATTTGAGTTTCAATGATTTTTTTATATTCCAATTTAGTCACTTATTTTAAGGTAAATTTAGTTAACTGTACTTCGATCAGAAACAAATTGACATTTGTTAATTGGTAGAGATAAAGAGAATTTTCTGGTTGTACAATAAAGAGTGTTTACTCCATAGGATGTAATCTTTTCCATAATTTTTTTATGTGATGGAAACATGTTGGTTGCTGGCAGGCACTGCGACAAGAGTTGGAGAAGAAAGGATGGGCATCTCAAGACACGATATGAGTAAACTCTTGCAGAAATCACATCAGAATTTAAGCAGCTACAGTCGATTGAATTCAACTATATGCAGATATTATTTCATATATTTTTGTATTAGATACAAATCCCGCAGAATCATTGAAAGAAAACTTCTTTGATTAATGGAATTGTAGAAATCATTGAGAACAATGCTTCAAACTCTTGGGGAAGGAATGAAATGAAAATATTGCCCCTTATCTTCTTGAACTTCATTAATTTGATCCACTTATACAATGAATCATTATTGTTTCAAAACTCTTAATTTGTGTTTTGTTTGAAATGCATTCTTGATGTAGATTTCACCTTTGTTCTGAGTTTGTCTGTTTCTTCAAGTGTTAAAAGTTACTTTCTTATTAAGATGTACCTATTCCACGTTTCTGGAGGCTTTGTGATTTCCTCGATGGTTTAACAAGTAAAGGTCGGTGCATAATGCATTTGGAATCTGGTTATAGGTGCATTTTAGAGACAAAGGTTTTGGATAAGTTTCTATTAATAGCTGTGAAAGAAAAAAGTAAGAAGGTAAAATTAATTAAATTCCTTTTTTAAGTTAAAATTTCATTACGCACTTCAATATTTATAAAAGCTCTTTCAACTGCTTCAAAAGTTGAAAAATATAAATTAATTTAATCTATAAGAGAAATTTAATTTTTTTTTTCATTTTCTTTATAAATACTAGTGAAAAAGTAAATTCAAATAGGGCTCAAGTATAGGTGCAATTTGATGTTGGCAATGTTGCCAAATTTAAAACAATTTAAACTAGTACTTGTGTAATTTAGACTTGCAAATTCGGAAAAGATTTGATAGAAAAGAATGTTAAAATAAATATTAATAACCATGTATAACATAATATTCTTAAAAATAGTTCAATATTTTAACCTCATAATAAAGTAGAAATTCACAATAATAAAGTGTAAAATTACATAAATGACCAAAATCTTACAAATTCATGAATCAGTTACTAAAGTGAAAATATTCCCAGTGTTAATTTCTTCAAATCATTTAAACTATGATAGAATCCTTTCGCTATAAGTTCATGCAGGCCAGATAATATTTGATTTCAAACTTGTTGACTAACTATTTTGACTCAAGTTAATGCGATTTTAAAAAAAAAACTAACTAACCAGATTACCTTAATTAATCGAGAAAACAATTTGACAGCACGTTAACTTAGGATGACAACCATGGATTTTGGTATCTCGGGTTCTCATTTCACTTTAATATGTTCAGAAATTGTTTAATCTCAATATCCTCACTAGCGAAATTCCACCAACAGCAAATAATGCAAAAGTAGCACCTCAAGTCCGAACTTTAGTACAAATAGCTGTCGACTTCTAGATAGAGGTTTAGCTTAACTTTAAGAAACTATTTGGTAGATCTTGGATGTAATCGAAATTGAGTTTTAATTGAAATTTCTTTGTCACACGAAATGCAAGCAGATTTAGCACCATGAACAAAAGACAGCAGTCAAACGGGTTAGAAAATGCACGCTAAAGCTATGAAATAGACTCGGACAAATATCCAATGCAAATATAAGTGAAAGCACAGTCTAATTATAATGTGAACAGACTAAAATATTTGTTCAAAGCAATTTCACAGGAAATGCTATTCTCAATTTCGCCACATGGGAAAACCCTCCATTGTCATTTAAATTTTAGAAGCATTTCAAACATCCTCAAGCCAACTCCGTTTATCTCCAACAACAAATTTCTGTGTAGAGCATCAGTCTCTCCTTAGGTCCATGTATTCACGACGGATACCACTGGCATTTAGGATGACAATTTCAAGCTTATCTCCCTGAAAAAACACCCACAGAAAGTTACAAGTTTATCCTTCGGTCAAATAGCAATTATGCACGTAACCCAAACTTACGGTGTATATATCTCTCTCAGTTGCAGATGCAAAAACAGTTTTGACCAAATCAACTGCTTCTGTTTCAGACAGTGGAGTAACAGCATCCTGAAAGAAATCATATTTTTAATGTAGGAGTCAGTCAAATAAAACTTGGAAGAATTAGATATTTCAAGCAAAGCACCAACTTCAGAACTTCACCTTGGCAGGTAACAGGAGTGGACTGGGAGACTTCAGCTGGTTATCAAGAAATGGCATAATAAGTGTGGATCCAGAACCCTGAGAACTATATCCAACCCTCTCATATGAACCAACAGCATCATACGTGAAGACACATCCCTTTCCTATTTAAGGTTGATGTAGCAATTAGCAAATACAAAATTAGACATGAACAAGCATAAAAAGCTAAAAATAGCACACCTTCATTGTCGAGGCCACCTAAAACATTGAAAGCATAATAAGGAAAGAAGCGTTTGTAATAAAGAGTGTTTGAAAGCAACTGAGCCATCGCAGGGCAGCTCATTTGCTTGTTGTGTTGATGCTGATAAATCTGCATTAAGAGTGAGAAGATTATCATATCAGTTTCACCAAAGGATTCCATTTTTGTCGCGGTAAACTTGAAACAAAAGATAAACTGAAGGTACACCACAATTTAAGAGTCTATTAAGGCAGTTTCCCCAGTTTTACAACATAAAAGGGTAGCCCAGAGCTTGAGGCTCCCACCTAGTGGGGTCTGGAAAGGGTGAATATAAGAGCAAAATACAAAGGTAGAAAACTTATAGGCAAAGACAAGACCCATTATATATGATACATATCAATATCTACCTTACTACTTGGGCAGAAATTCACAATGAATATATTCCTTCTGAATCATGTCAGGCAAGCATATGCATTTATACACATTGTAATTTCCCCTTTCCCTCTGACTGTAATGCTTTATGTTTGTCATTACTTTATGCAAATCTACGAAGATTCTTGTCTTCATTGGACACAAATCCAACTTCAAACCGATCACTTTATACAAATTTAGAAGACATTTTCCGTTCTATTCTTTCATATATCAAATTCAGTATGCTGGAAAAGATTGTAATTATCAATGTGAAAGTGGGTCAAAATCTTTGAATTTGGAATTAGAATTTTAATATGGCATGCCTAATATTCAAGTAGATGTGCTTGAAAATTTTCAAGGCAAACAAGTTATGTAACCGATAGGATCCCGGGTATTGAAGCTAATGTGAATGATGAAGATGTGCAAGATATGGATCAGATGGTGAGCTCTATTTATAGGAACCCAATATGTGGAAAGTATATAGTATATAAACACACAAGAAAAACAAGTATACCAGGGGGAAGAGTTAGTTATAGATGCTGAGACGGAAGTTTGACAATAGGAGAGAGGGGAGTATCAGGGGAGGACAGCTAGTCATTATTCCTGGTGGTTTTGGACAGAGAAATCAATTTCTCTGAGGAGCCTTGGCTCTAGGTTTTCCATTTGTAAGAGCTAAGGCTCATATTCTCTTCTTTCATCAATAATAATGTCTCCTTTATACTCTTTTGTTCTATCAGTAACTCTGTAATTAAAAAAAATAAAGTAAAATTGAATTGAATAGATTGGAGGTTAAAATCTTGAAGAGTTCTTTCCATCATGATTGCAGATGGGTCTAATGTTACTAAGATGCCTTGAAATTTTGATATAATGTAGCAAACATAACAACTTCTAAATCTGCAAAGTTTCAGACTTCTATAAAACCAAGAACTAGGTCAGTCAAGAAAGACTATAGTGACCGAACAGAATTGAAGACATAGGATAACTTACGAGATGGTTCGTAAGCAACTCAAGTTTAAATTATTAGATGATACCATTGACCCCAAAAATTCAAACAGTTCGCTGCTAAGTACCTTACAAATTCATCTGGAAATCTTTAGCACTTTACAGGATGCTACTTAATTTAAATCTGCTATGCACAAGATGTCAATATGGGCATATAAATGAAATAAATTGAGCAATATAAGAAAACATTGAATTTTCATTTTTTTTAAACAAACAGACTCATTGCATAGCAGATTACATGGTCATATAGATTGAGTGGCATTTAAGGGCGGGTTTTCTGTAGAGGCTTTATCGATTTTTATGACTTACTGCTTTGTGATTGATGCAATTATTGCTTGTTTAGGATACTTTAAATTTTACGAATTAATTACATTTTTCAAAATCTTGCTTAAAAAGCTGATAAAATAAGCCATTATGTCTTCAAAATAAGCTAAACCAAACACTCAATACATATCATCAAATCAATCCAGTGTACATTCGATAACTTATTTGTATAAATGATAGCATTGAGTTTTTTGTTTCATCAAATATCGTCTCAGACCCAAGTTAGGGGAATATATGCCCTAGAATATTACTCAGGGTTTACTGCCTTAAATTCTACATCATTAATTTCCACCACAGGGAGGTCAAAAACAAATTAAATTGGATTAGAACCGATCAAAGTTCTTTTTCCAACTTAACCATAACAGAAACATCCAGCATTAACCTAGACAAGCCACCAGACAAAAAAATATACCAATTGATTAAAAATAGAATAGAGTCGCTAACATACAACCAAGCCATCCCAACAAAATTTCACAACATTCAGCTGTTTCAAGCGTTGAGACTTTTCAACTCACCAAATGCCTGGCAGACAAAACCTTCTGCAAAGCTTTGACATCAGCTTGAAATCCAGAAGAAGCCATCACACTCTTGTCAGCCCTGCCGCAAAACAAAAACCACAATTCAGATCCTTAAACAACAAAAACAAAACACAATTTTCCTTGCCCAGCACTATAAGTAAGCAAATCAAATCAACCGCTCCCAAATCCCTCAATCGAGTTTCAGAAAAATTTAAAAAATAACAAAAAAAAATGATTTTTTAGGGCGAGAGTTGATTAGAGGGGAAAAGCTTACAGTTGGGAGATTTTGGAGTAATCGCGAGTGAGGATGTTGTAACCGGTGGACATCCTGGTATCGGCGGCGATAACACAGTAATCTGCTCCGGCAATTGCAACACATGATCTGCGAAAAATAAACAAAGAAATGAATAAATAATTGAAAAATTGAAATACTCCATGAGAGAGAGAGAGAGAGAGTGAGAGTACCCTCCATTGTTGTCGTATGGAGACCAATTGGCGTGTTGCTTGGTCATGGTGAAAGAGAGAAGGAAATGAATTAGGGCGTGAAGAAGAAGAAGAAAAAGAAGAAGGTTTTGGGTTTGGGTTGGTTTCTACTTTCTAGTCTTTTAACACACTTCAGATCTCTGGCTTTGGAAACACGAAATACTTTTTATTTCTTTTAAGAGTATGGACTACAGTACTCATACGTATAATACATCACTATATATATAAAAAAAAGATACTATTATTAAAATCAACCATATATGTATATACTAAACACGAAATACATTAATATAAAAAAATATTACAGCATTAAAATAAAGATAATAATAAAAATTTTGCACTCATACTTGAGTTTTTTTTTAAGATAAGAAAGATTACAAAAATGATCGTAATGAAGACTAAATCTATGTCATCATGTTTATACTTGAGTTGTGTTAATATTATCTTTATTTTTAATTAGTTGTATTGATATTTTTAGATATAAAAAATGCTAGTAAGGTACTATTTATTATATTCTTTTATATTTACTTTTATTATTATTCAAATTTTAATATAAATCACAAATTTGTTTAGGTCTCATTTCTTATTTGATATATCTCTCTTAATTTTATAAATTTTAATAAAAACATAATGTGTGTCAAAAATAATATTAAAGAATACTCTATATAATATAATATATCAAAATTATTTGGTTTTTTAAAATTTAAACTTGTAAATTTTACATTATGTGGCATTCATATGTTTACATATTTACACATATATGGGTATGATCTATTTATATCATGTGTTAAAGTTAATGAAATTACAATTTTTAATAATTTCTTGTAAAATATAAATTTATATATATTTTCAATATCCCATTATATATAAAAATAAAGTGGTGAGGTGTACTATCAAATAACTTTGGAGTTGTATGAATATATTTAATCTAATTAATAAAAAAGATTACATATATTACTTAGATTAGTTAAATTTTTATTTTATAAAAAAATTATTGAAAATGAAATTTTACAAATTTCATATCAAGTGTTAATAAACCCTAATTCCATATAGACACACACTAATATTTTAGTCCTGTACAAGATGATTATTTATTTTATATAACTAAATTTATAATAATTAAATATTTTTGATTATATATTATATTATAATTAAAATTTTAAATAAATAAATAATTGATGCAAGAAAAGGTATTTTTAATTTATGAGAACAATTAAAAACAAATTAAGGGTAAAATTTTTTTTGACAATTATAATTAAAATTTTAAATAAATAAATAATTTTAAACATATAAATTATATTTTAAATTTATAATAAATAATTTGTATTCTAATACAAAATCACTTTTAATTATTGATAATTTTTTAAAAATATATTAAAATAAATATGAAAATTATATATTCAGGAAATACATGGATCAAAATCATTTCGATGATCCAAAAATTACAACAACAAAAAAATTTGAATTAGTTTGGACTATTAGATTAGTTTAGATTAGAAACTTTTAAATCTATTTTGTTTGGTTCAAATTTCACATTTTGATTTCCAAGAACTAATCTAAATCAATCATCCAATTAAATAAATATTCTATTCTTTTTTATTAGGATTGGCGTGATCCATAAAGTTTGAACATTTAATAAAAGAACAATCCTTTTAAATATTGACAAATAGATTTATAACATTAAATATTCTATCAATTTTTGATGACATGTAATACTGAATGTTTTATTAGGTTTAGTGTAATTCTTTAATAATAAATTCACTAATTCAATCTAAATCAAATCAAATATGATTAAATTGGTTTGAGTCGGAAGTCGAAAAAAAATCAAATAAATTAAAGTTAATTAAATCAGATAAAATTATATCTCAAATTCAATCTAATCTAATTTATATTCGTTCTTAATTCAAAAGGACAATATGTTAAAATATTAATCATTAATAGATTAACATAAAATTAATATTCTCATTTTTATTTATTTATAATCTTTATCTCTAACTAGAGTTATAAAGGAATCAATTAAAGCCAAATTTTTTAAATTTGTAATTGACTTGCGAAAAAAAATTAATTATTCGTTTGACTTATTTATTTAATCAAATTTAATAAAAAGATTAAACTTGTGTTGTTTTAAAAAATAAAAAATAAACTTGAGTTTCACTTATTTAACTCATTTTCATTATAAGTAAATTATTTATAATTGTCTGAACATTATATAGAATAAAATCTTACTAATATTGATAAAATCATGTCAAAAAGGTCAAGATGTGACATATTAAAAGACCAAAGAGGAATGGGCTAGACATGAAGATTTGGACTAGTTCAGAGCCCGATAGGCCTGATGGACTTGGTGGGCTCAAGTTGCTCCTCACATGGGTCACACCTTGAGATTTCCATTGTCTTCTATTTGTATATATAATATTAGTATAGATTTCATATATTTTGGACCATTTAGATTAGGGTTTTGGGTCATAGGCTTAATGGGCCTATTTTGTGGATTTTATGGGTCTTAGGTATTTTGGTATCTAATATTGGACTCATTTTGCTTCTTTTATTATTTTCTATTGTTTGTATTTGATTGGCTATTGTATTTGGGCCTTTAGAGTAGGAAATTTGAAGGAATACTAAAATAGATAACTGGTGCTAAATCTAGGTTTTATTTAGAAGTCATTTAAGTTGAATTTGTGTCACATGTTTTAAGCTATGGGTGGCTGAACATGTGCACGCCCAAATCTGATGGATTCCTTCCACCATGGGAGAGACCAAGAGGTCCAAGGTGAGAGAGAGACTCCTTGCTAAGGCGAAGGTGATGACCTCAGTGGTGGATGTTCTTTCAAGGGTGGAGAAATAAGGATGATGGGCGTGAGGTGTTTATGGTGGGCGAATAGGAGGAAGTGGAAGGGAAATGTGTCTAGGTGGTTCTAGGTTGGCTCACTTCACCAAGTGGGAATGAAGGCCACTCAATAAACCCTAAACTCACTCAAGGGAGGAGAGGGGAGGTCTAGGCCATGATGACCTAGGTGACTAAGGAGAGGATTTGAGGCAAAAAATGCTCACTCAAATTCATATATTCCAAAGTATTTACAAGGTGCATGATTTATGGTGTTTATAGGGGAGGAAGCATTTAGGGTTGCATTTGGAAGTGTATGGCCGAAATTTGCATGCCAAATGCACTTAAAATGAAACCCAAATTAACCCTAGATGCTACTTAGTGGCCAAGGATGGAATCTTTGGGTTTGGCTAAGCTACAACTAGGTGCATGATATAAGACCATGCAACCTAAGTGCCCTCCACTTGGGCCTAAGCCTTTCCAAGTCCAAAAATAGATCAATGTTCACCAAAAAATATGTCTAGGCTTATTTCTCACCCTTATAAAATACCCTAGTCCAAAAATAAAATCTTATAATCCAAGGCACCCCATAATACAAGGGTAAAATAGGAAATACAAGTGAAAATAAATCTTATGACTAAAATATCCCAAAATACAAGGGTAAAATGGGAAATATAAGTAAAATAAATCTTATGTCTAAGATACCCAAAATACAAGGGTAAAAATGCGAAAAATAAAGACAAGGAAAAAATAGGCATAAAAGATAAATTCTATGCTAACAAGACTTAGAAGATTGATCAATATCCTTTAACCACAAGAAGTATGTCTATAGGTTGTTAGCTCTCTATCCTCTTCCAATCCCCTAGCCATGGACCTATTGATGGGTCCCACATAAAGCTCCAAGGATGGTCCTCCATCAAAATCAACCCTAAATGCTTGCTAAATGTAATTTAGATGCATCTTGGAGCCTTGATTCACAAACATGCACATGAGGGTTGAAAATTTGAATTCAAATTTTGGGCACCAATTACATGCCATGTGAATTGGCACCAAGTGAGTTGTATTTGTGCCTATTTAAGCTAGTGCCTTCACTCTTATATTCACTTTTGACATGTATGAGAATTTTGAAATTCATCTTCAGCCATTCTTTCCCAAAATTCACTGAGAGTGCCTTGCTGAGCCTTAGGAATCCTAGAGTTCTAAGTTTAGCCATGAACATTCCTTTGTGAGTCTTATTAGAGTACTTCCTTCTTAGCTTAGATTCACTCAATCTTGTCTTCAGTTCTGGATCATCAATCCGGAATCAAGTCTCAAGGAAGAAGATCGTGACAATTGGAGAAAGAAAAGGAAGAACATCAATCACTTCACTTGCCTCCTCCATCAAATATGTATAGGTAATAATATATAATTTTCATCCAGAAAAACTTAATTATTTTATCATTTATAAGTAATATTCATTTATTTTATTAATATATATTATTTGTAAATAATTATTAAGATAAAATTGTATTTGTTAAAACAATTTTTTATTTTTTAAAAATTTAATTTTTGAATATCTATATTTTAAAAAAAAATTATTTTATTATCATTAAAATTATTTTATGTAGATTAAATTAATTTTGTTGAATATTATATGACAAGATAACTACTTTTAAATAAAATTAAAACTTAAAACTACTTTTAACAAATAACTTTTACCCTAAAAGGAACTTTTAAGTTAAAATAAAAATAAATAAATAAAAACTAACAAACAACTTCTACTTATTTGTATTAAGTACTCATTCTAAACTTTTAAGTAATTAGTAAGTTTAAAAAAAAAAAAGTTGGGACAAATGCACTCTTCATAAAGAAATGACTAATCTTGACTTCAAAAGACATACATGAATGTTTAGTTAGAATAGAGTACACTTGTCATTGCTGAGAACAGAATATTAATATGTGATTTATTAGGAGAGAAAATGTAACATGTGCCTGTCTAAGGATATATTAGTAATCTTCTCGTAATCTGAGTGTCGAACGAGAGTTTTGAGTTGAAATGTAGAGGGGGAGGTAAAGTCAAGTCACTTAGTTTGTACATCCCTATTGTAAGAGATCTCCATAAGTTGATATCTAGATGACACATTAGTTGTTTAAAGTCATTTTTTGTGTAAGTTGAGAATGTTATTCATGTTGTAAGTTGTAATTGAAGATTGAAAGTTGTGAATGATGACAATAAGTTGATATTGTGTGATGAATTATCTCGTTCTTGTTAAGTTGTTTTGTGTAATATAAATTGTAAATTTACTACTTGTTTATGTTGATTCTTTTACAACTTTTCCTTGTGTTTAGAA